GGACGCGCTCTTCTCCAAGGTCCTTGCCGCCGCTCCGCACACCGGGTGGTGCCCTTGGCCCTGGCCCTCGGGCCGCGGACACTTCACCCTCCCTAAGCATCACCTCCAGACATCCTCAGATCCGAGGACACCGGGTCCTCTGCCCTGTGATCCAGGGACCCTCAGGCCCACAGGTCCCCAAACCAAGCGCTCAGTATTGGGCTTGACACATTATCCCCTCAGAAGCTGGACTGTCAGACTTGAAACCTTTACGCTGCACCTTTCCCACCCAGGCCTTTTAGACCCACGGACCCTAAGACCCAGAAAAAAGGCCTTCAGGACGGGACCCTCAGTCTGCGCCCTGTAGATCCAGAGATTTTCTAAAAACAAGTCTCTCAAAATCAGGTTTTAAGGGCATGTTTGCACCTCACTCTTCAGAGCCAAGAACCTAAGAGCGGGGCCCTCAGAATTAAACTCCACAGTGGGAGCCCCTGGACTCCAAAACCCTCAGACCCAAGCTCTTTCGATTAACTGGGAACCTTAAAAACTGGGCACTGGCCCAGGGACTCCCAGCCTCTACCCTTGGTCCAGCTCTTAGCTCAGTCCACAGGCCTTCAACCCTGAGAACCCCCAAACAAGATCCCTCAGACTTGGGGTCCTCATGAAGAATCTCAAACCCAGAACCAGAGAACTTTGCGTCCAACTTCTTGGCCCCAAATTTGTCCCAAGTCTGTCTGAACCCAAGGCGACAATACTGGCACTCCTTACCAGTGCCCCTACCCTACTCCTTTATCCTTTATCCCCCCCGCCCACACACACACATACACGTAGAAATCCCACCCACCCTGCTCTATCCTAGGGCAGCACCCCAAGATGATGCAGAGTTAGACTTGGGATTAGATGACCAGGATCTCCAGGGCTCTGGCATTTCCAGCTCTGTGACCCTGAAGAAGTTACTCAACCTCTCTGAGCCGAGCTCCCCATGTGTAAAATAGAAATAATACTTGTATGGAAAGGTTGATATGAAGAATGAAGTAGGATGGGAAGGGACTTGGCATATAATAAAAGCTCAATATTACTTTCTTCCTTCCCTTCAGTTCATGTAACAGAGGCTTCTAACTCTTAACTTTGTATCCCCTAAATTTCTACATTTCACACAAGAAAACAACGTTTCTTAGTAACACCACCACCACCAATACCCCAAAATTTGATAACACAGCAAAGGCCTAGTACAGTGGTTCTCAGCCTTGGCTGCACATTAGAATCACCTGGGAATCTTTTTAAAATCCTGATTTCTGGGCCTCATCCTCCAGAAATTTTGTTTCTTTGTTATGGGGTGGGGCCACAACATTAGTAACAAAGAAACAATTTCTGGAGGATGAGGCCCAGAAATCAGGATTTTAAAAAGATTCCCAGGTGATTCTAATGTGCAGCCAAGGTTGAGAACCACTGGGCTAGTAGTCTCCAGATCTCAAACTTAATGGGATTGCTGGGCAATCCTAAGTGGCTAAGGAGCCTTGACAGAGTGACGCAGGGGCCAAAACCCAATGGATAAAGATATGACGAGGAAAGCATGGAACTTCTTGACTCAGTCAAAAATAATCCAAACTCTTCCTGCATTCCATTTTTGTCCGAGTGTATTTATTTATTTTTAATTGTTTTTAAATGATTTCAGAGAGGAAGGGAGAGGGAGAGAGATAGAAACATCAATGATCAGAGAGAATCACTGATAGGCTGCCTCTTGCACACCCCACACTGGGGATCGAGCCCACAACCCGGTATATGCTGTCTGGGAATTGAACCATGACCTCCTGGTTCACAGGTCGAGCTCAACCACTGTGTCATGCTGGCCAGGCCCAGAATGTTTAAAAGCATCAGTCTATTAAAACAAAATCTTACATCACTTAGAGAGGATTCAACTTGTAACTCTTATTTTTTCATGCAAATGGATTATTTCATTGCCAGAATCACACATACCCAAATTCTGCTTTAATCAATTCTCCAATCATGTGCACTGGCCATGCCACAGCTCTTCTGGCATCCTGCTGGTGGGACTCTGCAATGTTCCAACCTTTCTAAAGGCACTTGTTCATTCAAGAAGTACTTACTGAGTACTTACCATGTAATAGGTCTGGTGCTGGGATTCAACAAGATTTATCAAGGGCTTTGCAAATGTTCTCACTCAGTAATTCTATATCTAGGAGGGTATCCTAAGGCAATAATCAGACATCAGTGGAAATATACAGCATGAGGATAAGGATCTAACAAGAGGGAACTGGACAAATCATGGTTAATCATAAATGGAATATTTTTCCATTATTAAAAATAAGATTAAAAAATCAGATTATCAAAGAATACGTAACGATGTTAAGAAATGCTCTTTATATAATAGTAGGTGGAAAAAAACAATACTGTTGATTCTTCAACAACACAGGTTTGAACTGTGCAGATCCACTTATCCCTGGATTTTTTTCAAAAAATATAGTCCACCCTCAGTACCTCCAGTTTTGCATCCATAGATTGAACCAATTATAGACCAAAAACAGTATTTTGATCCATGGTTGGGAACCTGGAGATGCAGGGGGCTATATGCTTTTTTCTATGCCTTTTTATATAAGGGCCTTGGGCATCTGCAGATTTGGGTACCCACGGAGGGGTCCTGGACCCAATCCTATACCAAGGGTTGACTGCAGTTAAGTTTTGAGGCAGGTAAAAGTTATTTATGGAATTTCAACTGCATGGGGGTCAGTGTCCCTAACGCCTGCATTGTTCAAGTGTCAACTGTATATGCATTTGTATGATACCAAGTTTTAAAAATATATATTATAGGAAAAACACCAAAATATTAACCTAGAAAGTGGGAGCACGATGCTTTCCATTTTTATGCTCTCCTGTTTTTCAAAATGTCTCTAATGGAGATAATTTACTTGTATGATTAGGGGAAAAAAACAGTATCATACAATGAGTTGCAAAGGTCATAAAATAACAGCCTTGTCTGGTCTTCCTCACTGGGAAAAGGAAACTGAAAGTGAGAACCAGATATTGGATGGAATGAAACTAGAAACCAACTTTCAGTCTAGCCTTTCCCTTTCTCTGGAAATTCTTGCCTGAACTAAGCCCCTCAGAATAAAGGCTATGGTGAACCTTATAATTTTCATCTTCCCAAATCAGTGCCTTGTCAGTGATCCTCTTAGGACCTTGAACTGGATCCTTAGATTCACTGGAGACCAGGCCCCAAACCCTAAACTGCCTCAACACCTGTTTGGCTTTTGAAGTGGCTCACACAGCAAGGGGGGAACTCTCCCCAGGAATAACAAATCAAATTAGCTTTTCTTCCAGTCTCAGTCTGAGCAAAGCTAATGCATTATGCAGGACCTTAGTTTTGCCACATACACTACTACTCAGGGCTAGCAGGAAGCAACAAAAGATTTATATCCTTGTATGTTGCCAAATGTTAGATGGCTCATAGGTTATCTAATAACTTGACGTTTGGCCAGATGGGCTGAAGATGAGTTTTAGTGAGGATGCTTTTAGACCTGGCAACTGCTCCACAAATCACATCATAGAAGCTTGTGGAAAACTCAGTGCTTCCTAAGCAGCATCGCCTCCAGACTCAAAATGACTATTTCTTTAAATATTCAGACAGACAGACAGACAATCATAACACTGGTGCTTGGGGGCACCTTCTCTTCTGGGAGGGAGGGACTTTGGAGCTGCCATTTATTTTCTCCTGGTGCTTTCATTTCCCTGACGACTCAAAACTTCATGATCTGGATAGAAAAACAAAATTCAACTCAAATTTGATCTTATTTCTCTTACGTGTTGATATTGCCCATCACATTGCAGAGGAATATCCCCAAGGTTTCTAAGGTCATGTGAACTATCATAGCTAAGAGGCAACTAGAAATTGACTATGGGACCTCCTACTAATCCGGTTCTATGCATGCAGTGCCAACATTCGTTCTGGGCTTTCCTGTGATTTGAACTTGAATTTCTTCAAGTTGATTTTGCTCCAAGCTGAAGTTTCACTGAAGACGTTGAGAATTCTTGTCTCTGCCGTGTTTGTAACCCAAATGAAGACAAGCCAAGAACAAAGGAAGCAAAACATCTGGGGCCCTGGAGATGTTCAAGTGCAGCCCAAGAGACATTCCACAGTGCTCCCATTCTGCTCAGACAGAGCCAGTTCATAAATTCTGCCAACACATGAGGCATTCAGAGTGGCACAGCTGCTCAGAGTGACAGCCCTTGGTGGAGTATGTTTTAACATAAAAATTTAATAGATGTAATTTAATAGCAATTTTCTTTGGGAGTAAATTGCTCTGAATCATACTCTAAGAACATTAAAAAAATTAGTAATTTAGCACAAAATGAAAACCTGTGGTTACCTAAGAGGTACCAGCGTGCATTTAGCAATTTCTTGTTTTTCTAGATGAATATACAAGTCAAGTCCACAAGATGAGTGGTGGCTGTGGTGAGGTTTTCTCCGCTGTTACTCAAGATTTGCTGCTCAAAAAAAGAAACATATTACCAATATGGAAATGTTTCTAATAGAATATAAAAACCTGTTAAGCAATTTTCCAGTACATTAGGCTGAAATTGCTTAAGATGATATATCTTCCTGTGACAATCAAACATTGCATAAATTGACACAGAACTTAGATGAAGATCCTAGAGACAGAACCTGGCTACTGAACCTGACTAGAACCTGGTGACTGAACCTGGCTGGAGAACCTGGACAGAACCTGGCTGGAGAAACTAGCGAGGGAACATGGCTACAGAATCTGGCTGGAGAACCTGGTTGGAGAACCTAGCAAGAGAACATGGACACAGAACCTGGCTGGAGATCCTAACCAGAACTTCGCTGGAGATCCAGACCAGAACTTGGCTGGAGATCCTGGCTAGGCTGCTGATCAACTGAACGCTGTCTCCGTGTCATTCCTTCTTCGTCGACTCCGTCCAGACCTTTGGGGACCCCTGGACCTGCTGGGGTTGGACCCCAGCAATATTCCTTAATATGAAATACTCCAAGTTTAATTCAAACAGGCTCTAAATGCAAATGCTAGTCACCATTGTCACCCCAATACATTCAGTAAAAATTAAGAAATAGTAAGACAAACAAAAAAAAACATTGCATAAATTGTAGTCTTATAATGCCCCTGTGTGGAAAGTGCTAGTACACTTTGGCCTGCTATTTTAGTCAGTCATCTGTACTCACTTCCATGTGTGACCTCCCACGGTCAAAGCCATCCCTGTTATCTGGAAGATTTCCTAATTTCAGGGTCACCCACACTTTCATCAGAAGTCATTCTTTCCAGCAGCTTGCCCGGACAGGATTCAAATGAAAAAGCCAACCCACTAGTTTTTCTTATTGCCAGCTTTAACATAGCTGGTTTGAAAATCTTGGCTCTGAGTAAAAATAACAAATTATCATTTACAGAGAAGCATCCCTAACTTCTTGCCTACTCATCTATTCAACTTTGTACTGATTTATAGAGATCAAAGATCATGACGCCTCGGGAGCATTAAAGAAAAAGGAAATGAGCTTGAGAAAATACTTTTGAGTTATACAATATAAATCAGCTAACAGCCAGTTCTGACACCCCTTCCCACCCACCCCCAAATATTTGGCCTGCTCATAATTTTTCATCTTCAGAATAACTCTTTCAGTAAATCTGCTCTGGAGACAAATAATCACTGAATGTCAACTTAGAAAAAGGGCAGGAATAGGTATGGGTGAAAGCCATAAAGTAATAGTATAGAGGAAAATGCTACAACTGTAGCAGGGAATAAGATCTAGAACATTCTGAATATAAGAAAATTCTATAGAGTGATGTTTCCAGATACTTTTAATGGCCATAAAAAGATACTATTATATGCCAAACCGGTTTGGCTCAGTGGATAGAGCGTCGGCCTGCGGACTGGGGGGTCCCCGGTTCGATTCCGGTCAAGGGCATGTGCCTTGGTTGCGGGCACATCCCCAGTGGGGGTTGTGCAGGAGGCAGCTGATCGATGTTTCTCTCTCATCGATGTTTCTAACCCTCTATCCCTCTCCCTCCCTCTCTGTAAAAAACCAATAAAATATATTAAAAAAAAGATACTATTATAGAAACTGACATTGCTTTAGTAATGGGAACATTATAAGACACAGGGTGATGTAAAAAAGAAATGTTTGGAGCCAGGCAGGCCCATCTGAATCCCAGCTCTCCTGCATACCTGCTGTATAACCCTGGGCAAGTCACACACCATCAGTCTGTTTCCTTGCCTATAAAATGGAACAAGAGAAGTTTAACTTCACAAAGTTGTTCCAAGGATTAATGTAGAAAATAGGCTCATCAAGTATTGAAGAAATGGTAGCTATTAGTATTAATGATGCTATCACACTCCATTTCAAAACTGCTACTAAGTCAGAGAATGAGTTCTATAGAATTTGAATGTGGGCTTCAGTCCACATTTTGTGCAAGTTCCCCATTTTTTCAACGTATATCAAATTTTCACCATGTGCAGTGTTTTATCTATCAGCAAGCCTTCTTCCGGTGGGTCTGAGCCTGTGAACGCTGCCCACTCTGAAATGCAGGAGAATGGCACCCTTGTTTCTCACATTGATTTTGATTATTTTTACTTCAGTCACCAACCAGAGTATGGTACAACATTAAACAAGCTTAAAAATACTTTACACATCACTGCCCTCTAGTGACTAGAATTCTTTCAAGTAATCCATTTAACTGATCCCCTTAATGTAAAAAACTAAAATAAAAATCTAGTTATTGATCTACTAGCAGGAGAAAAAACCCTTTTCCAGGAAATGTGGGTTGATCCAACCAATTACACTTGATCTTACTTTCCTGATCAAAGCATCTAGCTATGGTCAGAGTCATTCAGGTGGGCCACATGCATGTTCTATTACAGACTGTCTTAAAAGGATTAGCTGTGTTGGGGATGACTATGGAATACTAACACATTAGGCACATTTTCTCTTTAATGCCCCCCAATTCTGAAGAATGTGGCCTCCACGGTGTTCCTTATACTTTTTATTTCTTATAAAAATTTTTACAATAGGTATATATTATTTATATACGGGGGGGGGGGGCACCCACATTATCAGGGAGGGAGAAATAACCTGGATTGCTAAAATAGAAATTTTGCACTCAAGAACTATTCCAGGTTTAAAATATCAAGAGCTTGGTTGACATCCTGAAAGACTGGATGTCTACCTGCGGGCCAGTTAGCTTTAAACTCAGGAAAACCTCTAACCTCATTCACAGGGGAGAAGGAACAATAGTAGTAGCTACTGTTTACAGGCTAGGCCTTGTGCTTTGCTATTTGTATCTCCAACAATCCTGTGGTAGGTGTCATTACCCCCATTTTGTAGATTAGACCAAGAGTTTACATAACTGAGTTTAAATCTTTCTCTGATAACAAGAAACCATCTGAGAGGCACGTTCCACTTGAAGGTTAAGCAAGATGCCATCCTGGTATAAACAGTAACAAATTACAAAACACTCTGACCCAGAAACTACTGAAGAACAGTATATAAATATTTATTGGTAAAGACAGGTGTTCAAAGATTACCCAACTCCTATTCTAATTGCTGTCAAAAATTAAATGCTACCTAGCTATAAATTCACTGAGAAAGTTATACTATACAAATATAGGTAAGTTTGTGTTATCCAAATACAAATTTAACTTGGTTTGAAATCCTAAAATTAGAACCTTGAGCTAAATGATAACTTTCCCCATATTTTTTCAAATTTACAAACTTAGATGATAAATAGACTCATCTGTATGAAACATAAGGCCAAATTAGAAAGTGGGCATGTGAACCCCTCGCTACCTGCTGCCCTCCCCCACTGTGGGCTGCTGGGGCTGCTGACCACTCCTTCTTGAAGAGCAGCAATCCGTTTTCCTTAGAGACTCTTCAATAACAGTAACACTGATGCCTGAACTTGCATCTTTGAACACATATTTCAGGGCTTGGAAGCTTCTGGGACCATAACTTTCACGCAGCCTTCCATAACAGTCTTTTCACTTTCTCTTACAAAGCATGACACAGCAATAACCGCAATGAACCGCTTCAGCCTTTGCACTTCTGCAGAAGCTACAACAACTTCTCCAACATATAAAGGGGCTGGAAAGTGAATTTCCTGGGAAATAAATACACAGCCTGGGCCTGGCATTTTAGTCCCCAGGAGAGCTGAAATAAGTCCATTGATCAAAACTCCATGCACAATTGTCTTTCCAAATTTGGTGTGCTTTGCAAAATCTTCATTTAAATGCAAAGGATTAACATCCCCTGTTAGCTCTGAGAAGGCAACCACATCCCTTTGCGTGAAGGCTCTGCTGAGTTCAGCCCGGTCTCCAACTCGGATGTGCATATGCTAAAAGTGCTGCCTGCTTACAACTGGTTGGTTCAGGCAGATTCTCCTCCAAAGGTTACACCACCAAAGACGATGGCTGGAAATTACGGGGAACATCTTCGGCACCCTCAAATTCCATCAACAGCAGCGCTGAGCCTGTTTCAGTCATCAAGCATTATGCTGGCACCAAAAGATAGTTTTGAGAGCAGAGGAATGTTTCTGAAATTGAAGACCATTCAATCCAATACTAGTTCCCTACTATTACCAGATAATGCAAGGAGAAATGGAGAAACCTATAATAGAAAGAAAAATGTTTACACAGTTATCAGGAGAAAATTGCACTGAAACGCAGGGCAATGTAGAAACATGCCTAGCTTACAGAATAAGCCAAGCTGATGCAGTAGCATTTTAACAAGCATTCTGAGAGGTAGCCATAGATAAGCAAGTGGTCATGATGAGCTCAGAAAGAGCATGCCAATACACAAGTCACTAGGCATTATGCAGTAAGTGAAAGTTAAGATTTCTCCACAAGGTTCCAAGTTTTATCCCAAAACTCTTCCCATACATCTAAACTCTAAGTGCTTTGCCTCATGTTTCCAGAAGCAATGAATGCCTGGGTTCCCCTCCCTCCCCACTGGATGACAATAACCAAACTAGAGTTATACAAGCAGAAAAATGGAACACATTCTAAAAAGCAGTTTGAACCACTACTCAGCCTTGTTTGGAATATGTGAAGCAATAGTCTTTACCTGAATCACTCTGAAGGCACATTTCTTGCCTTTATAGGATCCTAACAGGGTCAAAGAGCTCCACAATCTGACAAGACCACTGCAGAAAAATTGAGAAAGCATAAAGATGTGTCCCTGCAACATCTCCCAAGTAGTTTTGTTTGTGACAGCTCAGAAAACTCAATTTAAATGAGAAAACTTTAAAGCATAGTATACTATCGGCAGAGAATAAAATGAACCACAATTAGAAGTGTTTCTAAAATATGTATTTCTGAATTTTAAAATAATACTAATTTCTTTTTTTTAATATATTTTTTAATTTTAGAGGGGGAGAGAGAGAGAGAGAGAGAGAAACATCAATGATGAGAATCATTGATCGGCTGCCTCCTGCACACCTCCTACTGGGGATTGAGCCTGGAACCTGGGCATGTGCCCTTGACCATAATCGATCCCAGGACCCTTCAGTCTGTAGGCCGATGCTTTGTAGCCAAACCGGCTAGGGCTATATCTCTGAAGTTGCAACCATCACCATCAACTGGGAAACACTACAGTTGTAAG